CCTATTTAAGTAATTTCCCAAGACAACCCCTAAAGGTTTTGAACCATACCATCTGACCCACCGCCCCATTGATGGGACAAATCAGCAAGCCATAACTAAGTCTCTCTTCCAAACTTCAAGAAGGTACAAGAGGATAGCAARCAGGACGCCRAATCTAAGGATGAAAGTAGAAACTTGYATGGAACACGACCCATCTCCCAGAAAGGCAAATATCTAGGCAATGGATGCTTCAGACTCCCTCTCTAAGTATTAAACCACTCCAGGAGAGTTTGCTTGGGCATTTTCAAATTATTATTATTCATCAGGTAAAGCTAACCAATACCATTGTTGTCTTGCAGATGGACCCTGTAATCAGAAGCCTCGKCAATGTTAGAGGTTACGCAACCCTGAATGGGCAGGTTGTGTTAGCCTGTGATACCTATCCAGCACTAGGCTATTACGAAGCCAAAATTGTTGAGTGCCTCAATCCTGAGTCTACTTACTTGGAAGTTCTCCAATTCACTCTCCAAAGAATGGACACGGACAGAACCTTTGTGGCAACACTGGATCTCCTAAACATGTGCAGGCATCAAGGGGACCAGCAGGTGGAAGCAGAAACCACGACGACTACCCCTCTGAATACGAGGACTCAGATTGGCATCAGAGGAGAGGATGCCTGAAAAGTCAAAGAGGATCCTCTAACCAAGTTCCGAAGGAAGCCACCTGGTGCATTTCTGATGAGCCTTCCTGGAGAAATCCTGGACATTTAGCTAGAAAATCCCAGGCAGCCCCTAACCCTTACTTCCCAGATGATCAGACCAACCAACAAGGAGCACCTTTTCCCCCTCAGTCGGATGCCTTCTCAATGCCCCCACCGAGGGGAACGCCTTCAGCCGCTGCTGTCGCACCCCCACCTCCCTCCATGGGTTTTCCCCCTTCTCAGGACGAAAATCACCAAGCTAACTCGATCTCCCCAAACTTGGCCGGATCCTTTCCATTTACTAACCATCTGCCACCACCCTCAACCCCATCACTCCCCGGAGGATTACCAAGTCGAACTGACCCGAGAAATATCTCACCAGCATGGTTCCCTTCCGATTCGGCAACAGATGAAGAACTCTTAGCCAACTGCTTTAACTCTTTGGATGGTGTCTGCCCAGTAGTTATCGAGATGTTCGACAGCGTCATCGAAGAACTCAAAGACCTTCTAAAAAAAGAAAAAAAAGGGAGGGGCACCCATCCTCCGTCCGGGACAACGACGAAGGAATGAAAGTTGAAAAAACTACTGATGACCTGATGCTTGGGTAGGGCGTTCTGG